CTGGCTTTTTGCTAGTTAATTGAAAGTGGCTGGCTTCCAACTGTTATCCTCAGAGCTCAGCCACCTGATTAGTTAGTATTACAGGCATGAACAACTGGTGCCCTACCATATTAATATTTTCACAAGACTATTAATAACTATTTCCCATGTACAATCTTTGAAAGGTGGACTCCAGATTCCTATAAAATTTTCTTTGGTCTTTTGGCCTTTGTGCTCTCTTCATTTTGATCCTCTACATTCTTCCTAGAGAATATTTCTCCCACTTATTGTACTTTGTACCCTATCACTCCTAGAAGATAAAAGGCAGCCAAAAAGATGGAACTCTTGGTGAAAACACCACAGAGGACAGAAGCTCTATTATGAACCTTTCAAGACTTAAAGCTCTAGCTATCAACAGTTTCAGATGTTCATAGTTCCCACCAGAGATGCCTCAAGCACCCTGTAGGAGGCTAACACGAGAAGCCTATCTCTCCTCTAAAGCCTAGCATTTTTTTCCTGTAAAACTTTTTCCAGGCTTTCACCAAAATACAGGACTTGAATTTCTACTTAGGAAGTAACTAAGTTTATGTGCAAGTTTATGTTGAAGGTGGATTACTATAGTACAATCTTAGAGGCATATTAAATATTAAATGAGAGTATATTTGCCAGTAGTGGTATAGTAAGCCTAGAGTCCTAGTTATTCAGGAAGCAGAAACCTAGAAAATCACAGTTCAAAGAACTGTGGGAGAAAGAACAACAAAGAACCTGGGAGACGTAGTGCATATATATAATCTCAGCTATGTGGGAGGCAGATCTGAAAAAAAGGAAAATTCTACCTAAAAATTAACTAAAACCAAAAAGGGCTGGGGCTGTGGCTCAAGTGGTAGTGTACATGCTTAGTAAATGTGAGGCCCTGAACCTTAGTACCTCCAAGAAGAAAAAAAAAAGAGGATTGAGTGGAGTATCATTATTTTTAACATGATAAAATAGATTTACTGGAATAGAGATATTTATACTGCTTTGTAAATATATCATCCACATGGGAATGTGGGTGATATATCGTCCCAATGTAGTAAATAAAAATTATGGTTATAGAATGAAATTGCTAAATGTAGAAATCTGAAAACAAATCTTATTTTAATACATATAGCCAAAAATGCATGCAAGATAAGACAATTTATACTTGTACTAATGATCTATTTCAATGACTCATATAACAGAGATGGTGTGATTTTAATATACATATATATATATATATGTTCACCAATTTGACAGGTGAGAATTAGTACCTTAAAATTCTATCCACTCACAAGCAGAACAATGGAACTGGTGCCCTTCTTTTCCTCTTCACCTTCAATCTCACATACAGAAATTTTATAGCTTGTAGGTGGGGATGGGAGTAGTAACTGGAAGAGAGCAAGGGAATGAGTAACATTGTTCAAAAAGAAATGCACTTTTATCTGACTTATGTAACTATACCCCCTCTGTACATCACCTTTATAATAACCATAAAACATTTAAAGAAATTTTAATATATAGTCATACATATGTGGATGTGTATTATTTATGTTATTTGTACATATAAAATTAAATACATGTACTAAACAGCCAATGAAGTATAGGTTTCCTTAGTATTATGCATTTCATTATGCTATGCATGTAAGTCAGATAAATTAGAAAATCTGGGAAACAGAAGTATAGAAATGCAATGTTCCTATAAAACAATTATGTACTTTCATGCTTAAATTATTTTGTATGATTTCTCCCCCTACTATCACAACTCATGTTCTCATGAGTTGTATTAAGCAAGTTGTACAAACAAGTTTAATTCACTTTGAGTGCTGACTTAAAAATCTAGCCTCAGTTTTCATTGCAATGCAGCTATACTATCATGTCAATGACTACTGCAAACAGGGGTCTAGCAGGGACATGTGAATTCGGGTTGATACTAGCTGGTAAGCAGTGAATTAATATTTACTGAACATATAAGTGGATAGAATGTATGTTTGGCAGCCATCAGATGAAATTAAGTTTAAATAAATATCAAAATATCATTTTATATCATTATATGTACTTAGTTATTGAGGTTTTGTGATCCTCTCCTAAGAATATCCTTCTTTGATCTTACTGTGTGAATGTTTAGAGTCCCGTTTAATTTATCATGGAAACAAGAGGTATTTTTGTTATTTTCTCCTTTATCACTCTTTTTTATTTCTGTACTTTTTGTCTTGCATATGTTTGTTTTGGAGAGGTAAGGAGGAGTACCAAAATGGTGGGTCAAAGGGTGAATAAATGCAGGAGTGATACTCACTAGACACTATGCTGAAAATGAACTATATAATTTGTGGGGGAGAGGGGGTTGGGAGGGAAAAAACTGGGAGAAATGAAGGAAGAAGGGACATTGTCCAAAAGAAATGTACTCATTATGTAGCTGTAACCCCTCTGTACATTACAATAACAATTTTTAAAAGAAATTAAGTATAGATTCTTCAGGTTTTTCTTTGCTTCTATGTATATTTTTAATATAGATAATATAGTTATTTTCTCTTTTTTTTGGCCAGTTGTGGGGCCTGAACTCTGGGCCTAGGGGCTGTCCCTCAGCTCTTCAGCTCAAGGCTAGTGTTCTAACACTTGAGCCACAGCACCACTTCCAGCTTTTTCTGCTTATGTGGTGCTGAAGAATCGAACCCAGGGCCTCATGCATGCTAGGCAAGCCCTCTACCACTGAGCCATCTTCCCAGCCCATATAGTTACTCTTATTTCATCATTTTATTACCTACTTTTAAATAATTATAGTCTTTATTTTTAAAAATAAAACAAAACATTTTTTCTGGGCAAAAAGTGAGGAAATGATGGATAAATCAAACCAGAAATATAATCTTTTTCTTTCTTTTCTATTCATTGCATTTTTTTCTGGCAGTATGGAATTTGAAATCAGGTCCTTGCACTTCCTAGGCACTTTTGCTTCAGTGTATTTTCCAGATAGGGACCCATGTCTTTGCCCCAGCCAACTGTCATCCTCCCACTCTACTCACACAGAATCTCACTGAGTAGTCCAGGCTGGCATCAAGCTCTTGATCCTCCTATCACAGCCTCCCCTTGGTTGCTAGGATTACAAGCATGCACAACCACATCTGGTCTGGCTTTTTCTGAGTCCATTTTTGTCTCAAAATGGTTAGTAAAATTGGTGCTAGTGGCTCACTGATAAAAATCTAAGCTATTCAGGAGGCATAATGGTTTGAAGCCAGCCTGGGCATATAAATCCAACAAACTCTTATCTCTAAACACAAGTGACAGAACATCAGTTTTGAGAGGAAAATGCTGAGTGAGAGCTAGAGACCCTGAGTTCTAGTCCCAGTACTCCTTCCCACCACCTCATTCCCAGGCCATTGACTTGAGGACAAGTTGTTGGAGCAAGGAAATACATTCATTTGGAAAGCAGCCAGTGATGGGAATCTATCATCAGCAGACCAACTTAGGAGACTTGGGAGTGCAAAAGAGGGAAAGAGGAACAGGAGGAATATATAGGAAAGAACTGATAAATGGAAATTTCTGGGAACCAATCCACTGTCCTGGAAAGGGACATTTTTTAGTCACTCTTCATGTCTGCATCCTTGAATGGGAGAGAGCAATTAGATAAATTTAGATCAACCTTGTGTTACGTAGTTCTCAGCAAACTATTTTTTAAATGAGTACTGGATCTACATGAAGAATTAAACAGATATCTTACCCAAAGGATAACATAGCAAAAATGATAGATGTAACATAAAGAAAACATGACATCTCAAGCCTTTTCATCCTTCTTTAGTAGGCCCAAGTGAAGAGTCAATGTGTTCAGCAAAGCTGCTTTGAAGTCACTGAAAAGTAACCTAGGCAACTGCTATCACCATAACTCACACATCAGAGGTATTATCTACAGTAAAGGTGGTGGGTGGATAATAATACATTGTTTGGCTCTGTAACATTTAGTTGACAAAGTCAAAGGCAGATAAAGCTATAACATATACCTTATAATTAAGGTATATGTTAACTATAGCAGGGACTAACAGTTCTAGTCTTGCACTTAGTGTGCTATTCAGCAGGCCTGAGCCATTAAATACTGAGCTGTGAGAGGGGCTCCAATGCACATTCTTTCCAGCAGTTACACTAATCTGCTAGAAAAACAAGAGAAATAAAATGAGAAGGGGTGAGTTTTAAAGATTTATTATGGGTCAAATGGTTTACATTCATGTTATCATTAAGACGACCTACCAAAAAAAAAAAAGACTTCTTAACAATTCTGTGAGTTGTATGAGTTATTATTATGTCTTTTCAGATGAGCAAATGGGCTCTCATATTACCTGACAATTAATTGATCAATACAATGAACAGGGCTCTGGAGTCAAACATTACTTTTTTCATTAAATATCATTTCCCATTATAAAATCATAATATCACAGCATACCATTTTAAAGCACTTACTGGATCCCAGGATGTAAACTAAGCATTATACATGTGTGAATTCATCTAGCTAAAATTATTTTATCCTTGCCTTTTCAAACTGTAAAAACGTAGAAGCTATTTTTGTAAAGACTAGTCATATTAAGAAAAAATTAATTTCCTTTAAAAATCATACTCCTTTTCTAGGCTGGTTTTACTTTTACAATTGCTGCCCTTCCCACTCCACTCCACACAGCTAAGAAAAAGATTGCAGATGAAATGGAGGCTGGAGGAAGGACGATGGATGGAGGAGTTAGGACCTGGGAGAGAATACTTGAGACAATTCTGAAAAGAGGTAGAAAAGTTCAGTGGCTCCATAAGGATATATGCAGCTGCAGTCCCTCCCAAATAATCAGAAAAGAGCAAATAACATTTTTTTACTCTGAGATCTGCAAGAACAGAAAAGACTAACGGGGCCAAACGTGTGAGTGTGGGGGTGAGAGAGAAGAGGGCGGACCCACATCTGCCGCGCTTTTGGTGGGAGTGGAAACTGGGGACCAGACCTCACTGGTGACGTAGATCCCATGTGATCAGGAGTCGACGTGTGCAGAAGTCCTGCTAGTCTGGTCCTTGTTCCCGTCTGGGTACCAGCTTCCTTCAGCTGGGCAGGCAGAGGTGCAGAAGGCCAGCGGAAGGAAGAGTCAGCTTGCTGGGATTTTGCAGGTTGGTGTACATCCGAGTGTAGCCCCCCCGCGCGGGAGGGGGGGGAGTTTCTAGTGTAGGGGTCGTCAAAGGTAGAGACTTGGAAGAATCCCAGTCAAGTCTCTCAACCCCCTTGACTCTACAGGAAATAATGACTCTAGTGAAGGTAACTGAGGGTCCGAGGGAAAGAAAAGGAGACCTATAATATTTATGCAAAAAGTGATCCTCTAAGCTCTTGGACTTCTTTTCTGACACCCACTCTAGCCCCAAACCCCACCCCAGTCTGAAAGATGGTTGGAAATTGAACGGTTTTTACCACTCTCTGCCTGATGGGAAAGAGGAGAGAAGCGAATTGGGGGGAACAAAAGATGGGAGGTTTTCCGTAAAAGAAATCTTAAGGGAGTAAAGAGACGTGTGCCTGGTCTCCTGTGCAGATCCTCCGAGCACCAAACGCTCGCCCCACCCCCACCCCTTCCCTTCTTCATGTGTCTGCAGGTCTGTTCTTAGCACCGCCCAAGGTTAGAAAAGTAAGAGAAAGAAACGGACCGGATTAGACCCGGGTAAGTGGAAGGAACTTTATAAGGACTCCTGGGTGAAAGTACTGGAGGATACACAGAAGTGGTGGCTTCACCGCCCCTTTTCTCTTCCCCCCTCCTTCCCCTCCTTCAGCCAACCTACTGTTCTGAGAGGGCCTTGATTTCGGCCTTGTGAGGGAGAAAGGGTTGGGGTGGACTGAGATGGGAGGCAGGAAGGAAGGCCTTGGAAAAGGCTGGAGGGAGGGACAAAAGAGGGGAGGCGGTGGAAAGTGGAGGTAAGAGGGGCGGTGTCAGGGAAACGGTAATTGCTGACTGGATTTGTCAGGTGGAATATATTTGATGACGACACTGAATTTTTTTAGAAAACCAAGACTTCTGTGTGGAGCCCCTATACACCTACCTAGCCTTTGATCATTGTCTCTTTGCTTCCTAGAAGTAATTGCAAAGATTAGACAGGAAAAAGGGTGAGAAGCAGACCCAGGCAAAATGAAACCCTGTCAGAAAATCGAAGGAAATCCAGAAAATGAGAATGAACCCAAGCCTGAGGAAGAGCCAAAGCCTGAGGAGAAGCCAGAAGAGGAGGAAGAACCAGAGGAGGAGGAGAATGCAGAGGAAACCTTTAGAGAAAGGCTCATTCAGTCTCTCCAGGAATTTAAAGAAGACATACACAACAGGCATTTAAGCAATGAAGATATGTTTAGAGAAGTAGATGAGATAGATGAGATAAGGAGAGTGAGAAACAAACTTATTGTGATGCGTTGGAAGGTTAATCGAAACCATCCTCACCCCTATTTAATGTAGCTTACCTTGATTTCTATTTTATCCGGTATTAGCATTGCCATAGAGCTTTTTTATTAGCATTTTCCTGGTATATCTTTGCCCATCTTTCTACCTTTAATCTATTACTGTTAGTGGTTTTAGATGTATCTCTTGTTATCTACAGTTCATTGTTTATTGTAGTTGGAACCAATCTACAAATCTTCTTTTAAAAGGAGAGCTTTACTGACTTGTAAAAAAAATGTGGTTCCTGATAGGATTTAAAATGAAAAGAAGTTACTATGAAATATGCAAATACCATATTTTTGAAATCTAATAGTACATTTGTATAAATATTACATATATACACGTAAAACTTTGTGAAGAATGAAAGATGAAAAGTACAATCTCGGTGATGGGATTATTAATGATTTTTTTTCTTCTACTTGTTTGTATTTTCCACACTCCTACAATGGAGACACATTATGGTTGCTAAAATAATAAAAGTTTTATAACTAAAAGAAGCAGCCAATAGTACTTGTCAGTTTACTTTTTTTAGTTACGCAGAGACTTAATATTTGTTGACAAAATATTAGAAGCAAATGTGAACTTCGAATTGGATCTGCCCACTTATCTAGAAGATTAAATTTTACATCACTTCTCGTCTGTAAAAGAAACATAATCTCAGGAATTTTGTGGGTTCAAATAAGGTAAAACCTCAGAGCAATTTCTCAGGATTTTGTCCCCATCTGCTTACTCAGAAAACAAGCTCCTTAGAGATTGCTTCAGATGTTGGAAAGGATGGACTTAAGTAGCTCTCATTTGTGCTTGACAACAAACTCAAGCAATTGTTAGCAATTGTTCTCTACTCTGTGTCTGTCCAGCCTCCCATCCACTTGTCCTTGATACTAAAATGTATAATTCCAGCTGCTTCTGCCCAAATACCAAAATACCCACAGTGGGCCAAATCCCCACATTAACTTCTACAAAAGTGTGTAGATTACCCATCTTCAATTTTGATAAGCCACTGGAGCCAGGACATCTTACAGACACTTTAGCAAATTTTAAACTCATCCCAATACTAAGACAATAGGTCCATCTGAGAACTAGAACAAAAGTCTGAATAACAGACATTATACTTTAGTTAGAATTGTATCCCTGGAGCTGAATGCCAGGGCTCATACTTGTAATTTTTTTGCATGGGAGGTTGAAATCCAAAGGAAAATAGTTTGCAGCCATTCTTGGCTGCAAAACTTACAAGATTTTCCAATAACTAGCAAAACAGGGATGGAGGCATGGCTTAAGTGGTACAGTGCCAGCCAAAAAAGAAATGGGAAGAAATAAAATGCCCTGTATTTGAAGATGCTGTTTTACTTTCCAGACTCCTATTTCCTTAGAGCGCATGATCGTTCCCTGTTCAACAGGTACCCAAGACTTGTATTCATTTTTAAGGGGAGATTTAAGCGGGATCAGAGAATACCCCAGTCCCTAGTTTCAAACATGAAATTTCTATGTGAAGATGTGCCAATTGAGTGTTATTTACCTCTGTGATTCCAGTTATGAAAACTCTTTGGATCTCCACACCACACTTTAAGGTTTCAACAGCCTGAAAGATGTCAGTGGGGCTGGAATTCCAGCTGGAGTTGTAGTTTTATAAAAGCAAAACAATTTTTTTTAAAGGTTAAATCCATTTCCTTATACTTTGAGGGAGGTGTTCAGGCAGGATGTAGAAGGACTCAGCTAAGCCACACTCTTCTAGAGGGGGTCTGCCCTTTGGTTTCTCTCCCTTTAGTCTCATAGCTGGGCTGTCCTGAACAGACATAACTAGAGGACAACTGTCCCCTTTGCGGATCAAAACACTAGACCTCCTCTTTTTTTCCTTCTAAACAGAGATTGAATAGAACTTCTTGCAAGGACCAAAATAGGACCTCAGATTTAACTAACTCAAAACATCAGTTGTGATAGTGTTTATTCCAAACATGATGGCTTTGGATATAATCAGATAGCTTATAGTGAAAGTAAAAGGACTTGATGGTAGACAGGTAATTTTAGATGGTATACACATAATATCAAAGGTAATGTCCTTGTATTTATTTGAGCATGTATTAATAAATACTATAAGTTTAAAGCTCAGAAAGATAAAATTTTTAGGGTGGTATAATAAAATTTGCTTTTCAAAAACTATTCTAATTATATAACTGACTCTGAAGAAGAAAATTCAGTAGAACACAATATTAACAGCATGAGTAGCACACAAATATGGTAAAAAATTGTAGCAGAAGGCATTTCCCTAACACAATTGCTTTAGGTATACTATCTGCAAACATCTGTTAAGAACTGTGCAGAGTCTGAGATTTTACCCTATTTATAAGCTACTAAGTTAGCCTGCTATTTAATGGGCACTGGTAGAAGTTACTTAATTGTTGGATCAGAAACTAAAGGCATTTTTACAACAAAAGCCAGAGCTTCATATTGGTTTCTACTAGTTCCCTTAGATTTCCCAGGAGACATGGGGTCCAGATGGATGCCTGAACATAGCATGTTTTACATTCAAGGAAAGGAAAACTGTGTTCGTGGTATTCACTATTTTCATAGCAAGCACAAGCCAACCTTCTCCGTGTCCAGGAATGTTACCCCATCCCCCAAGGTTGCTTGCTGTAAACACAAGTGAAATAAGATCTGCCTGGGTAAAGAGTGGTCAGGACCTTACATTCTTTGCATACTCAAACAGAACATACAGAGACTCTTGGGACCTTTGGCAGATTGCCTCTCCTAGTTTCTAAACAAAACTTTTTAATATCAATTCCAAGCCTTTAAGGTAAAGAACCTTTGAGAAACTCTGAAACCTCGCTAAATGCTAATATGTATGATGGTGCATACTTGTAATAGCAGGACTTGGGAGGCTAAGGAAAGAAGATGCTGCTCTAGATATTTATCAAGATTTCAAGGCCAGCTTGACCTATGTAGAGATTCAGTCTAAAAAAATGTGTACAAAGATTGCAATAAAGCAGATTTAGGAAGTATAAAGTTTGATTTATCATTGGTAGCTAGAAAAAATAAAATAACAATCATATATTCCCCCCAAAATGTGTTAGACATTGCAACTATGCCATCACAAAACAAAAGAAGTATTAAGTACAAAACCATTGGATTTGTCAGAACTAACGAAAATTTTTTCACTATAAAACTGACAGAAGGGTATGTTTGAAAATAATCCCTGGATTCCATACATATCTAATCACCGTAGGCTTTTTTAAAAAAAGCTAAATATGAGAGAAATTCAGCTCTGTTTTCTCTCCAAGGAAACTTTAAAGGCTGGAAATGTGAGTGCCTAACTCAAGTAATAGTATATAACAGTCTTTGACTGGGGCATTACTGTGAGTTTGTACATAGGGCCTTTTGCCTGCTAAGCACGTGCTCTACAATTTTAACCACAACCAGGTCATTTTTCTTTAGTTACTTTTTTGGATAGGGTCCCATGTTTTTGCCTAGGAGGACCTGGACTGTGAACCTGCTATTTACATATCCCGTATAGCTGGAATTAAAGGGGTGCAACAATATATCTAGCTATTGGTTGAGATAGGATCTTGCTAACTTTTTCTCAAGGCTGGTCTTGAAACTATTCTAATGCCTACCCCTCATTATTACAAGAAATATTATAAAAGTATTACAGGGCTGAGAAGGTGGCTCAGTGGTAGAGCGCTTGCCTTGCATGCATGAGGCCTTGGGTTCGATTCCTCAGCACTACATAAGCAAAAAGAAAAAAGCCGGAAGTGGCGCTCTGGCTCAAGTGGTAGAGCGCTAGTCTTGAGCTTAAGAGCTGAGGGACAGCACCCAGGCCCAGAGTTTAGGCCCCATGATCGGACCCAAAAAAATATTGCAGTATTACAAAAATACTATAGTATTTGAAAGAATGATTCCATCTTGGGATCTAGTATAGGAGTGAGCTACCACTCCAACCAACAGTATTGATATTCTTAAGCCAGCATCTTGCAAGAGCCTTAACAAAAACGTTTATATCACTGATGGATACCTTAATTGCTCATGGAAAATCTTTCCATGTGCTTATTGGCCATTTGTATGTCTTTACTTTGAGAAATATATATTAAACCTTTTGTCTTCATCCTCCTCTCATTGTTTTCAGTATAATGTGGTAAAGTAGCCATTTAAAAGAATGAGGTAGATTTGTATTTACTGCATGTTTGCCATGCACTGTGAAGAGAAAAATGGACAAAAGATACAGCATCTCTCTCCTTTCTCTCTGTCTCTCTGTCTGTCTCTCTGTCTGTCTGTCTGTCTGTCTGTCTGTCTCTCTCTCTCTCTCTCTCTCTCTCACACACACACACACACACACAAGTAACATAATGAAGACATTTAGTTGGCTAAAAAGAGAGGTTATGTCTTATTTTTCCAGTCCTGAGTCTTGAACTCCAGGCCTGGGCACTATCCCTGAACACCATTTGCTCAAGGCTAGCACTCTACCACTTGAGCCACAGTATTAATTGGAGATAAAAGAATCTCATGGACTTTCCTGCCTAGGCTGGCTTTGAGTTGTGATCCCCAGATCTCAGCATCCTGAGTAGTTAGGATTACAGATGTGACCCAACAAGGTCATTTCTTTTAAAGAGGCAGCTCGGTATCTCAACCGGCCTTTGCTTTCCCTCTGATTGTTTAAGAAATAATTATTTTAAAAATTTTCTAAAGGACAAACTTACCATTACATGGGACCATTTAATTAGGTCTTGGTCTTACACAGAGAATTTCTCTTAAATGAACTCAGACCTATCCCAGATGTTACACCATTAAACCATTTTTTATAAAGAAAAAGAATGAGAGACTTAGCTAATGCCTGCCTAAGGTCAAATACCTCACTTTTAATCATGGCTCTGGAACAGTTAATTGTAAATAGTTCCAATACTGCTTTACTGAATAAATTTAAGTTCCTCAGAACTCTATGTTCTTTGAAAAGATGGTTTTAGTTTCTACATTTCTCCCTGCCTTAAAGTAAAATTAAGTCCTGAGTGGATAGGCCTCAATCCTCTTTGGACAGTTACTGAAGAAGGATTTGCAGATATGAATACATATCTTATGTAGATATTTAGTATCTTTTAGAGACCCAAGACCATCGGAAGAGTTAAGACCTCTCTCCAATATGCCATGGCAGGACTAAGTGCTGACTTTGTGTCTTAGCAGCCACAAATTACAACTGGCCTGGTCTCATTTATACTCCAATCCTTTGTACATGTAACTACTTTGACTTTACTGAGCCCCTGTGCTTTACTCTTAGATATTTGCTTTCAGCTGGTTTTAAAAATCACTGATTTTAGTTAGGTTCTGGTGGCCCATGCCTGTAATCCTAGCTAGTCAGGAGGCTGACATCTGAGATTTGTAGGCATCCTGACCAGGAATATGTGTCCCTGAGTTTTTTGCTCATGACTAGAGCTCTACCACCTGAGCCACAGCTCTGCTTCTGGATTTTGGTGGTTATTTGGAGATAAAAGCCTCACAAAGTGTTACTGAAGAAGGGTGTGCAG